ACCGCGTGAGCAGGGCAGAGGGTGTTCGGTTGGTCCGCGGGAAGGTTCTCACGATCCTCCTCCAGCATTTCGACCTCCGTGGCTCCGAGATCCCTGCATGGATGGTCGCTGAGGCAGGATCTGCCCATCTCACCTTCCCACTTCACCCAGTGGGCGCAGCATCCCCCTGCTTCCTCCTTTTCCGACTCGGACGCATAGTCCTGAAGCCTCTTCGCCGTCTTGCTGGCCTTGGAGAAGAGCCATCCCATCGTCTTCATGCCGGTCCTCTGAGCTCCCGAGGCTGTTGAAAGGAGGTGGAAACGTTCGGGATTGAGCTGTCGTGCCAACGCGTAGCTCTTGAAGTGTTGACCCTCCTCCGGACACGTATCGTGCCTGCACAGGTGCACCCGGTCGTAACCCTTCAAGGCAAGCAGAAGCTGAGCATCTCCCCTGGTCGCCTCCGGGTCGAAATTCAGGTAGATGCCGCTGGACTTGATCGCCGCATTCTCGGTGACCTTGATGATGACCACATAGCCATCCCTCCGCAAAAGGACCCATCGATCCTCATTGGCCCCCTTTTTCATCTTACGAAGGTCAGCCGTCTCCGGGATCTCTCCAGTGTCTGGGCCAATGAAGGTCGCTCCCATCGCTTCGGGTACACCCCCGGCCATCCGCTGGGTGTAAAAGGCGACCCGCCCGCAGCATCGCACCAGGGCCCGAACCACCCACACCACCGTCAGGAGGGTTCCGATAGCCAAGGAGCACAGCGGCCAGGCCAAGGAGAGAAAGTAGCGGAGCACGATGCAAATCACCATCAAAAAGGCCACCCGTAGGAGCAGAGAGCAACCGGTCCTGACACTGGCCCAGCTCTGCCCGAAGACCATCCAGCCTGCCCCGGACAGCAACGTGTCCAGGATGGTCCATGCCAGGCTGTCCCAAGTCGTCCACGTGGCATACCGCGCCTGGGCAGCGGCCATCGTGGAGTTCACCCGCTGCTGGAGGCACAGGAAAGGCTCCTCCCAGCAGGTAGCGTTGGGTGGCGCAGGCTCGGCATCCCCTGGAGCCTGCCACCACCCATCGCTAGGGCCCGTGGCCCACCAAAGGCCGAGGGCCAGCCATCGCCACCGCATCATGGCGCCAGCCCCCGAACAAAAAACCTGGGCCACTGAGGCCAAAGGCTGCGACCGAACGTCAAGCGTCACGCTCAAAGTATCGGTTGTGAAAACCTCCAAGTACAAAAAAAAACAAAAGAGCAGCGCAGTCCAAGCGGCGCTTTCGTAACCTTCAAGGCCGCACCCCAGTTGATCTCGTTTGGCCAATCTCCTGCAGCTTTCGTGGAAGCAGTGTGTCTTGGCAACCGATCTTTGAGGAGCCGATGTCAACACAAGATTGTAACCTGTGACTGTGTGAGACAAAGCTTACATTTTAGTGCAATAAAGTGTCACCCTCCCCCAAGACAAATCTCGTAGCCTCAAAATTGGCATGCCCAAAGTTAGCCGCCAGCTTGCTCAAGCTATTGCTTTCCTTTCAGCCCCTTCTCTGCTTCTTCCAAGAGTTCTAGCTGTTTGGGGATCAGATGTCGGCCTTTTGGGCTTACCCTGGTGCATCAGCAGACCTTCCAAGCGCATGATGTTGAGGAAGCTGGTTGCCAGGTCCCAGCGGCCACCCTGATGGGAACACCGGTCATATATATATATGTCATTGACATGTGCAGCACATGGAAATGTAGACTGCTAGGCAAAGCACAGACCACCTCGGCCTCGGGAAAGAGGTGGCCATAGCATTTGCAAAGCATGTTATCTTTGCCCACCTGTTCTGTTGCTGCAATTGCACTGGAATAGCTCACTCTGTTGGGGCGAACCTGTGAATCTCTCCTCAGTGCCGGGGTGATGAGTGCGAGCGTTGCAGCCCCAAAAGGTCAAACACTACCTAGGCGGCTACAGTAGGTGGTAGTGAATAGGTAAAGCCACCCATTCCTTCTACTTTGTGCCGGGCATCATCATTTGCAATAAACCAAGAACTGTCTGCCAGTGGCCAGCATGTTTACAGGCCTGGGCTGCAGAAAGAGCGGAAAGACGCCAAACGAAAAACATGCCCACCTCATGATTACCTTGCCCTAAAAGAGCTGCAACCGGACGGCATACATGGCGACATTGAAGACCACGGCATCCCTCTTTGCCTTTGTGGAAGACATCAAGTCGAAGAGCAGAAACACCATCTGCCATTGACCTGTGCGTGAACAAGCCACAGTCTTGAAACTGCTGGCTGCGGGCCCTCCTTGATTCCAAGCAAGAAAGCCGTCACCCCCTGGAGTCTCCCGCCTTCACTCTGGCAGGCACTCATAGCTGCGCTGTGCGTGGCAGTGTTGGGCTGCCTGGATATCAAGGTCTCAAGTGCGAGGAGGTTTACTTATGAATGGAAGAAATAGAAAAGAATGGAAGTTGCTGGACACTTGACCTGTTCCAAACAAGTCTCCTGACCGTTTCACCGGAAGAGCTGGCCTTTTCAACATCATTTCCCAGAAGAGCAATAAGCAGTATTGCCATTGGTTTGCCACATGGCACGCACTGATGCAGGCATTTTGCCCATTAACGCTGCACTCCCCAAGCTCTTCCTGAGAACATCAGGGATAGCCACTCAGCCAAAAAAACTTGCAAACAGAAACATCAACCTCAGAAATATTGGAAGCCGTCGATCTCTCCCAAACGCGGGCGAGAGACCGACATCTGCTCCAGCAATCTCAGGGCCAGTTGCCAATTCTTACCTACACGTGGGCAACCCAATTTGTTCAATTAAACGCTACCACATGGTTGAATCCATTTGGAAGTTGGCTGATGCTGCAGACCATCAACAGTAGGTCCCTGCCTTGCTTGCAGGCGTGAATCGCAGCATTGAAACCTGACTATCTGTATGACACGCTTGCACCACCAATTAGTCCAGCTCTTGCAAACGTCTTCGCATGATAAATCTGCGTGCAAGCAGCTGATGACATCCCGCTGAGGTGTTTCCTCGAAAAGGCAAATTGACCACGGCCAGGCCAATCCCTTTGCACATACGCTGATGGCAGAGTTGTAGCTAAAAGTATCTGGCCTGGGCCAAAGCGGAGCCTACCACAACAGCCAAAAAAGCGGATCTGTGGGAACTGCTGCGCGTGGCTAATGGCTAACGGCTAAAACACGCCACAATCGCACTCCTCTCTCCTCTGCTAAGCCAAGCCAGTGGCATCAGCTGCAGGGTCCCAACACTACCCAGAAGATGCAGCGCAAGTTCCCAATCCTTGCTCTTGCCACATGCGCTGATCGCTTTGTTGCAACCTCGTGGCCCCCCAAACAACAAAATACATTTAAAAAAAAAAAAAACATTACAGTAAGAAAACACAATAGAAAACATGTTCTCTTCTTGTCATGGTGCTATGAGCCTGGTGCATTCTAGAATCGGGCTATTTGATTATTGTGTGTCAAAGGTGCTTTCCTGACGTACGCCTATCTTCAAGCAAGCAGCTAATCAGGTGAAGCTCATCAAGGCTCAGTTCTTCCTGAATACACGTCGTGGAGCATTACCATTACACCCGCAAAAAAGAGCATCAAACGGCAAACTCACTGGAACCGCCAGTGGTTTGCAGTTTCTAAGGAAAATCATCTTGAAAGATTCTTTCAACAATCTGCCTTCGGATTCTATATATATATATAGTTATGTAGGCATATACAATATACTTCGAGGTTTTGCACACTACAACTGCAGGATGAAGCCGAGGATCCATGCCTGGCGCAGTTCACCGGCACATTGCTGTCACTCTAATTCCAATTGCTTCAGTCTTGAGCCAGCCCCCGTGGGTCATCAATAATGCTGAAAAAAGGATGTTGACCCCTTCTCCAATAAAGCGTGGAGAGATCACAACTTGAGCTATCACATGATCTCCACCAGGTATGAAGATTCCTGTGTGATTCTCTTCTTGGCCGATGTGCCATCGAAATGCCTCCATTTGCAGCCATGGCACTCATGGATCTCATACCGCAGTCTGCGCCTGAAAATGCAAATCGGCCGTCGCGGACTCTGAAGATGTGGCCTAACATACGGGGTGACTGAATTAAGGTTGGAGTCGTCTAGTTGCTAGCTGTGAGGCCAACCCACGAGCTGAAGCCTCAATACTCAAGCCCTTGTGCTTTGCAAGTTGGAGGTGAAAGCGGTCCTTCATAGCAAATAAAGCTGGACAGGGTGTGACAGTTGCAGGGCATTATCGGACTCAAGCCGGGTGAGCTGGTGCATGCGAGCTTGTGCGTGGTTCCTCCAGGGTCCTCATGGTTCCAAGGTCCCAGTGCTGGGGCTCGCACCCGTGTCCAGCATGGTTTTTGTGCATCTCCCGGCGCACTTTTGCTCGGTGGGCTGATCTTCTGCACGCTGGCACTCAGAGAACCCTTTGGGACACACAGCTCTCATTGCACAAACTTGATCTTGCATCACTGAGGACCTTGTGGACCCTATGTAGCCTTGGGGCCATTTGGCTTCCCAAGACCTGGGCGTGGTTGCCAAAGGGCAGGTGAACTTTAAAGGGGTGATACATCACACGCGACGGCACGACATAATGTGACAGCTTGTGCGTCTCATCAATCCAAATCCCTCACTGCAATTGTCAAGAAGGCACCTGCATCAAACGAAACCGCATAAAAGCCAGAAAAAGCTGTGGAGCGCGTTCCATCTCTAATTTTACGTATGCAGCTGCCAGCACATACACATTGACATGCTGGATGTCTGGACTTACTGGAACAAAACTATGAGACCTGGCCTTTGCCCTTCTTGCCAGGCATCGCCTGCATTGCGGTTTGACGTCACACTTTGCTCGCGGGTTTTTCTCTGTCCATCACTAGTTACTCGTGCACCGCCAACACTTTTGAGGATCTCACGCACGCAAAGGCAGTGCGTCCCGTGAAACAATAGAGGCTACTGTACTAGGACAATGTCTACGTCTCCAACACAGACAGAAAAAGATACAGCAGTAAAGCATGTGGCAAAGCCAGGGGTTCTCATGCTTTATTAGCTTCCTTCTCAGCTTGCGAAAGCAGCCTACCCTTCTGGGCAATTTCCTTGCGCTCGGAAAAGCGGTCCACCAAGAAGTCAGCATTTTCGCGCATGATGAGGGTGAATTTGAAATACTCCTCCATGACGTCCACAAAACGATCCCGGAAGTTAGAGTCCTTCACAGAAGGCAAACATACAGTAATGCTTGAAGTGCCAGGTTGAGGTTGGGTTGGGGCTCACTCATCTATATACATGAGATTTCAATTCAAACACTCAACAACAAGGCAAGCAACATCCCGCCTTCATCCGCCCATCATCATCAAACTCCTGCCAGGCCTTAGGCACTGAAGACTGGTTGGTGCAGCAAGGCATTCGCATCCATCGGGCTAACCGTCGGAGCTCGTTCACCACGTTGAAGCTCTGACTGCCTCCATTCACTTGAAGCACCACGCAGGTTCGGCCTTGCGTCGGCCGCACCGACCCAGTGTTCAGCGGAAGCCAATCGATCTGATTCTTGAAGGCGCCCGTGACACAGCCGTGCATCTCTGGGCTGACCCACACATGGCCTTCCGACCACATGGACAACGCCCGGAGCTCCTGGACTTTCGGATGCTCCTCCAACGCCGGGTCCCGCACGGGCAGTCCATGGGATGAGAAGGTGCGCACATCAGCACCCAACAACTCCAAGAGCCGAGCACATTCGAAGGCCAACTTTCGGGAGAAGGAGCTCGGCCTCAAGGAGCCGTACAGCACCAAAATCCGTGGGCGGTGCTTGAACTGGGCACCAGGAACCTGAAACCGTGCTGCATCCTGCAAATTGGCGCCATGCTTGTCCTCCGCATCCGCAAAGACTTCAGAGACCCAGTCATGCCCAGGGCCGCTTCCAGGCACATCCCTCTCACTTCGGTGAGCAAGCCAAGCTCCGGTGCCATCTTCCAGCGGCTGAACATCATAGCCTCCATCTAAGACGAAGCTCGCCTCCGTCTCTGATGCACTACCCAATCCCGCGCGCGCAGCCAAACGGCGCTTGGAATGAAACGCCTTGGATGCGATCAGGGCGCAAAGGCCCACGGCCCGCGGCGCGCCAAGCTTTGGGGCAGACAATGTGGTAGCTGCAGCGTATCTGAGAGGGGAGCCCGAAAGGAGCAAGGCCCTCACTCTCACGGTTGGTCTTGCGGCGTGGAGCATCACAGCAAATACTCTAAAAGTTGACGGCCAAGACCTTGAGCCGATGAATTTATAGATGTCAAATTTGACATGCAAACACCTGTACTTGAGGCACGTAGTGAGCTCCGTCTTTCTGATTTCAAGAGATCCTAGAATATCCATGAATATCCTAGAATACTCGTGACAGCGGCCCCAAGTCGTTTGGCTTTGCGCCGTGCACTCACTCAGCCAAAGCCGACCTTGCCGTTCTCGTCCACGAGCTTGACTTTGCCTTCATGCCATACCAACGGTGGGTTATGCAGTTATGCAGCTATGCAGGACCCGTTCCATTTGGGTCATGGACCCCGCAATGACTAATCGCAACCAAGGAAGCTAAGCGCAGGCGGGCAGTCAAGCTCCCCAACACACACTCAAGATGGTTGATGGATATTGATGAACTCTGATGGACCTGCAAATTCTTGACGCCCTTTTGGGACAGGAGAAGGGATCTTTTCATTCGACTAGGCCTAGGCCATTCTCAGGGTGAGGAGACACCTTTTCGGGACACTTTCCACCACCCCATCCACAAGCTCCACCATCCACTGCCGCGTCCTGAGAAGTCCTGAATGATGTCCTGACACGGACAAAGGAAGCCCAATGCGACGGCTATTGTCCGCCATGATATCAACTGAAGACACAGAAAGCGGCACATCCCTGGAAAAGGTGTTCCACTTCCATGTTTATTAATGACTCTCTGCTCTCCCAGCACATAATCCACGGATATGGGGATCACGGCCCCGAAACGATGACCATCCGAAGACCCAACAGCTGGTGAGTGTGTATGGCACCAGGTGTTCGCCGTTTGCTGTTTGGGCCATCCTCGAAGCGCAAGGTGCACGAGCCAAGGAAGTCATCGGTTTTGCCCCAATCTTCATCATAGACTGTGAAGGTTATCGAGTCCTCAGAGGTAAGCTCCAAACAACTGAAAAGGCACAGCACCATCACGGTACGAAACCATTGCCAGCAGCCATACAAAAGTTTCCACCCATGAAATTTGCTGCTTCATCCCAGCCACACCGTGAGTAATTTTGAGCTTGTCCACGTGGTTGAACACCGTCTCCGCCGCTCCTCAGCTTCGGCATGCTTGTGCATCAGGGCCTATGTACATGCTTGGCCTGTGATAAGGATTGATCATGAACATCTACTGTAAGATGACTGCCATGAGTTGCTCCAAAAACATGCACTAAACCAAAATTTGTGGGTTGACCCTTGCTTGGAACTTGGCACCAACAGATCCCCTTGCAACAATATAATGGCCGCAAAGCCAAAACACCTCCAACGACATCATTCAACAACTGATCTTTGTTTAGAGGTGCACCCGCCATCCGCAATCTGATGCAACTGGAGCTCGGCTCTGTGCCATGGTTGGGGTGCGGAACTCCCCAGTGCCCTGACAGGAGGACTCATTCACGTGCTGCCCTTTGAAAATTCCACCGCTTGGGAGTACCAACTGTCGAAGAACCAATTGCCTCCACCCTCCTCCCTTTCGTCAAGTCAAAGCTCTCCTAAAGCACACGGCTACTAAATTCCTGCACTTTTTGTCGAGCTCACAATGCAAGGTGGCAAGGCTTCTTCTTTTTGTGAGACAATATCCACTCTTGAGCTGTGTAGTGCTATAACGCGGCTCAAGGGTGGGGCATGGCTCACCACTCTCAAACGACCAAATGCGCCCATGTCACAAGCACTAGACTCACTAGACAGCCAGGCGCCAGGTCACGCCCTCCTTCGCTCCCCAAATGCAGGGCGCCGCTGTGCAATGGTGTGACCATAGAAAGCTCGTCAAAATTTGAGGGTGTCATAGCGGCTAGCAGCGACAGAGACCCAAAAAACTACTTCCAGCTGGCCCCTTGGTCCTGCTGGCGCCAGAGTTGGACCCTCAAACACTAGTTGAAGCATCTCCAATTCTCACTGAGGTATCAGTGAAGATTCCTGGCCCAACCCTGGGGTCATCTATGCCACTGAAGTCACTATGAACATCATCTAAGCTCCAAAGTCGAAATTTGAAGAAACCTTTGCAAAAAGATGCTCCCCGTAGATCAGCTCGCCCCCTGCAAGGCCACGAGCCAAAGGTGCCGTGCTGCCCTCACAAGGATGCGGCTTTCCCAGGGGGGGCGCCACATCCAGTGGCCGAATTACCTTGATACAACATGCTTGGGCGGGTTTGATAGTGTTCTCCCCTACCAAACAATTATTGATAATTATTGACATCCTGCGAAGGAACCAAGTCTCATTGCTTCAAGTCAGTCTACGTCATACCACTCGCCACTCGTGGACCCCACACAAGCGCCACATGTGACCTGTTCCACCTTTGCCTCAACGCAACTAGCATATGAAGTGCAGCTGAAGCACCGCATCGAAGTTGGGTTCGTAGAAGAAGGCGATGGAAGTGCGAAAGTCGCCCTTCGTCTGCCGGACCCGGTGCCGTGTAGCCTTGTAGCGACCCTTGGTCCAAACACCTCGGGATGAAGCCAACAGAGGAAGGTGAACCCAATGAAAGCTCAGAGAAGATCCAAGTACACGTAGCAGAACACTGGAATCCACTAGCACAGGGGAAAAAACACTCAAGCCTTCTATCAGCACTCTGTGAAGTGCCAACGACACGAGGACCTTCCAGCACTCATGTGAAATGCCAACGACAAGAGGACGTTCCTCTCGGACAGTGCTCGTCCTTGTCCGGGCATATAAGATGTGTTTGGACCGTGATCTTTTAGGTTGGAGGCCATCAGCCATCGCTAGTAGGTTGGAGGCCATCGCTATTGGGTTGGAAGCAGTGATCTTTTTCGCACTCGCAAACTTGTGCCCTGCATTGGCTTGTCTCGACTCAAGCAGGTCGCTTCTGGCGTTGCGGTTGGCGCCTATGCGGGTGGGCACCGGTGGCTGCAGACGCCCCCTGCTGAGCCCCTCAGTACTTCTGTGCGATTCTGTACATTGGCAAGTCTGAGGCTTTCTGGACTTGATTTCTTCTCATCTAGTGTCTGGCTTTCAAAATGAGAATCAGGATCAACACCAAATTCACGATCACCAAGAAGTAGATACATTTCATGGCTCGATTGCTCTTCTGGCTCTCTTCAGCCTTCCGAAGCTGTTTGTTGGCCTCGGCACTCTGGTGTACCACCTGCTCAATGTTGTAGTCGATTCGGTCTAAAATCGAGCCCTGATCAATGACAAGCACTGCAAGCTCCTTGAAAATTGTATGTAAGTCAGTGATGGAGGATGCAATCTTGTGAATCTCTTCATTCCTGAAAGTGGCATTCTGCTCCATGTCTTGCAAATCCTGCAGTTGAGCTTCGCTGAAACCCATATCTAGGTCACTCATGACATCTCTGGAAGTTGCATCATCTAAGCCTCCTTTTTGGCGCTTCCGGACATCATTCAAATAATCCTTCTGCAACTGCCGGAACTGCTGAGAGAGTTGCTGCAGTTGGGTTGCCAGATTTCGCTGCATGTTGTGCCTCAACTCACGGTCCTTCTCTGTTGAAGAGGCGGCTCCACGAGTTTTGACCTGGTGAATTGCTGGCTCACATCTTTTCACCAACGCAGAGATTTCTGAGGAGATTCGTTCAACCTCTCGGTCAGGCGCCTTGTCATCGGAAAAGACTCTGAGCAAACGCTTTGACTGGGCCTTCTCTAAGTGTGTGAGCTTGTCTTTGATCAGTCGAATGTCTTCTCTTGCCTGCTCTGCAGCTTCGACCCATTGAGGCGGCAAGGACGTCATTTCGAGTGAAACCGCTTTGCGGCCACCTTCTATATCAAGCAAGCGATCGGCATCACCACTTGGCCCGCCGCCAAACCTCCTGGCTGCCCGACGGTCCCGATGTCGAATAAACACCGGGGTGAGATTGCGAGTGATGGGGGCCTTGCCATTTGCAGCTTTCATTTGAAGCATCTAGCTGCTAGAATGATTGGCACGGAACAAAGCCTGAGCCTCCATGAGCATCGGACAAATCAAGTTCAACCCTACATGGCCTGCTTAAAGCACGAAACTCTTTCGTGGATCATTGATCATATTCTTTACAAGGAGCGCATCACACTGCAGGACCTCTAGATCACGATGTCTAAAGCAGTGCAAATGAAAGAGAGCAATGATAAACTATAAATTGGTTCAGCTCCCAAATGAATTCCTAGAAGAACCATTGAAGAACCGTCATCCGTGCCATCATAAAGAGTCGCCTTTCAGCCTTGCTTCCGAGGTGCTAAGCATGTCGCCCAGATTCACCACGAAGGCCCCAGCTCGGGGTGGCACCTTGGCCCAGGACCCACCGGACAGTTGCACCTCCAAGGCGTCTGGCGTCTCATCCTGGCGAAGGTGACACTGAACGGAAAAGGCTGCAAGCATGTTGCTTCTTCCAATTCTTGCTTTGTGGCGGTCTGCGGGGAAATTACATACACAATATGCCTTGAGGCGCGGATCGTTTCTACACCTGCTCTGCCTGTGCCAGGATAGTCCAGCAGCCATAGTCCGTGTGCTCTCCACAGGAAAGGCCCACTGCCCCCTGACGCAGCGCAGGGTAGCCAATCACCCGGACACACCAAAAGCTCTGGTTCGTCAGATGGTCGAAGAAGTCCTGGGCACACGGCAGCACACGGCTTCGCCCCCACCTGTCTTTTGTCTTAGCCCGCCCTTACTTAATTAAGGAGGTGCCTACTTAATTAAGTAAGGGAGAAGTAAGCTAGCTACTCAAGCTAGCTAAACATGGGCGCAGGATAGCACTCGCACTGATGATTTGGTTCCTAGATTTTTTGGGAAACTAAATCGGCCACCTGTATCAGGGATTGGGCACTGCAGTTCTTTCATTCTGAGGAGATCTAGCCGCGCCATGGTTCATGTGGCATTTGACTCCAAAAACCTCACAAGTCCTGTGGCAGCCCCAATCCCAAGGCCATTGCCTCAGATCTGTGGCGAAATCCTTGGGAGAGTGGGACTGCGCCCTTCTAAGGTCCACATCCTGAGACCAATGAGACCAAAGGGTGCGCCTTTCAACAAATGTCACAAGTGAAAAAGAGTGGTAGTAAGCACTTAGGGCAAGACTTAGGGTGTGGAAAAGTTAGACAATCCAAGAGCTAGGACGGCTCTGTGCTCATCGGCAATTCACGTTTGGATGGCTACGTCAGCAATGAAGAGAAGCTATTGCAGGAACGTTTTTACACTACGATTCGTGATCATGCCAATATAATCTTGATAGACTGTGAGGAAGCCAAACATGAAGATAGAAGCAGGTGGTTGACTTCCCAAAACTCTTCAGGATGGACATAGTGACAATGCTGATGTTAGTACACAGTGACATGCAGGGGAGTGGATTGCGCCATGCTGCTTGCATCAAGGCATCACCTACTCGAGAGACCTTGGAGAAATATGCCTCGGCGGAGGCTCTGAACTCCGCTGGCTGGTTTGGCCAAACATTCCTCAGATCGAAGCAGTCCGCTTCCAAGAAGAAGCTGGGGTGGTGGAAGGCACAATCGTCCCAAACACTTGATAGGTTATGGCTTCTGCTGTGCAGAAAAGACAACGTCTCTCCCAAGCGCTTTTCTCAACCCATTCCCATTTCTGTCACCAAGATGCGGGGCGTCCATAAACTGCTGTAATTTCTCAATCTCTTCATCCCGCATCCTTGCTGGCTCTGCAGCAAATGCGTTGAGGTTCACCTGGCTGTGGCAGGAGGCTTGGTATCCCAGTTCTCTTACCATTCCAGCTATAGCCAGAGTTGTTAACCCTTCTTGCCAAGTGGGATAGATCTGAAGGGACGTAGCTTCTGCAAGAAGAAGTCAAATCTCGGGTGGTAAACCCACCCATCCACAAACAAAGAAGCCGGCAAAAGCCCAAGTGGGACAGCTCTCTTGAACTCCGACACCGAATTCCCGCCTCCTTCGAGTGAATCGGAGCAAAGAAATCAATGGCCTCTTGCCAGTCCCGTTGGTTCAGAGTCACGTTCTCCCCCAGCCTCACAAGCGCTGCAGCACGGTGGCCCAGGCTGGCTGATCCAGGCTGCCGCTGCATGAATGAGTGAGCGAGGGGCCCAGCGAACTTTAACTCATCTCCATCAAACCCTTACGATTCATGAGCCTCATAGCCTCTCAATGTGGGGCACACACCAAGTTCTGGGTTCCGCTGTACAGTAAATAGCTTTAGAACTCGACGCCTCTGGTAGCCTCTGCCTTGGGCAGGCTGTGAGGACATAGCAATGCTCTCCTCAATGAAATGTCGGCTCTCTGTGCTTTCTAATCCTGACTGGGTGGGGTTGAGAATTGCTTTACAGTATATAAGTTTCAGGAATTGAGGGATGATGTCCACCTCTGTATGTCGCTCTTGCATCCGTCCTTCACAGACTCGGGCAGCGCAAAAAAGCGCTTTGCCAAGCGATGCAGCTGCTGAATCTCTTGTGTGGGCACTCCATGACCTTCGAGGTAGAAAAAGCCCACACTGCCTGGGAGGGGGAGCACAAAAATGGAAGATTCTCAAGCCAACTGGGAATTCAGGCATGAGCAGCAGGATTCCAAACCCTACTTTGGGCGTGCATGCGGGCTTCATGCCATGTTGCTACATGCATCGTCCAGCGATCTGGCAGCTTCTTGGCGTTGCAAAGCTGATGACGAGGATGACATAAAGGGAGACAAGTCTAAAACAGGCAAGCTGACTTGTCGTCCTGGCACAAGTGAAATGCGTTTCCATGGCAAAGGGTGGCCCTTGAAAAGCATGAACCGTTCACCTGTGGCGCAAAAAGCTCGCCGTGCGCCACGCTGGAGGAACGCCATGGCAACGTTTAAAAAGGCCCGGCGATGTGTTAAAAAGCAATGTTTTTGGTAGGAAAGATCCTAGCCTGGTTATCTCACCCTCTCATGTGGAATGTGAGTCTTGCTGAGGCGTGCTGAGGCATAAATGATATCTATAATATATATATATATATAGATAACCACTGAAGCACCCAACTGTTGGCTGGTGCAGAGCCACTCTGCCGCGTGCAAGTGAGAATGAGCTCCCCTTGGCCCAAAGGCCAAATGAAGGGGCCAGTCCCCAAGTCCCAGCGAGCCTTGCCATCGACTTTGCAAACGACGTACGGGTCTGAGGAGCCTGCCCACCAATCCTGAGGGGTCAGGTGCACTCCTTGCAAGGCTGTGCCAAAACATGAATGCCTCCGACTCCGACACATGACAAGGATCGTTTCTCTGCACTGAAGTAGCCAACTGCCCATGAGGTTTAATGTGAAATAAGCCAATAAGGTAGGTGCGGAGCACACGTAACATGGCACAACATAGACTCTGATTTTGAATCAAGCCGCAGCATCGCGCATCCCTTTTGCGGAGATCACCTTCACCTCAACATTGTATTCCTGGCCGGCTTCCAACAATCGCTGAGAGCAGCGCATCCACGCAAAAGTGAAGTGGAAGGAACATGAAGGAGCCAAAGAAACTCTTTTGTGTGGGTTTGAGCTTTTGGATGACGTAAGTCCTTGGGCGCTTCGTTGTGGGTAGGGCCCGTAGTAGGGTCACCTGGCGGTGTCACTGGCATCTGCCATGTGCACCCACTTCATGGTTCTTTCAAATGCAATGCTTGCGGCCAAGTGAAGTCTGTCGCACCATCATACTTGTTCAGAAACTTCTCCGTCAAGGTGGCCCTCAGAGTTCGCTCGGTGGCGAGTCGACGACTCTTTTTTCGGCGCAAGGGCGTTCAAGCCGAGACACTTCTTCCGGAAGTCCAGTTCCTTCCAACGGCGGCGCATGAAAGGAAGGGCTACACGACATATATCTGCATCGTTTAAGTTTGATTTGAGATGCTATGAGTCAGCTTCGGACGAATTTTTTGTTCAAGCTTGAAGGTCTGAGTTCAAAAGTGCTTTGGTTAGTGTGACTCCGTCACAGCGGCCCCTGGCGCATACCTCTGCCAGGTATACATTTCCTACCCGTACCAGGTAGGGACTCCATTAAGTTAGTTAGTCAAGAGGATACTGAAAGGCGCGGCAGCTTGCGACGGCTGCGGCGGCCGAGATTGGCTCACCATCTCACGTTGAAAGAGCCCCCCGTACCAGCGCTGCCATACCAGGCTCGCTTTCGCGGCGTGCCAGTTCCCAGCCGTCAGCCACGGCGTCCAGCTTCTTTCAAGGCCTCCTCATAGGATGTAAAGTAGGGTGCCAAGTCGCTGGGAGTTTCGATCCCAGCTGCGGAGCACCACACATTGAAGCGCTCTTGCTCGACAGCGCGTCGAGCCAGCTGCTCCTCCATGGCGCCAGCCGCAAAGAATTTTGAAGAACCAGAGTCACTGGATTCTTCAGGAGTGACACTCCTTTGACTTTTTGGCTTGAGCCTCAAGCTCAAAGGAGTGAGCTTAAACCGAGTGACATCAAATAATTCCTCATCACCGACCCTGCCTACCTTGAATGAATGAATATAATCTATATCATGATAACTTTTTGGCTACGCAAAGCCTGTCTACAGCTCCACCCAACCAAACGAAAAGCCATGAGAAGCCTGTTGCGCCTGCCCACCATCCACTCTACCATGATGGCATTGCATAGTGGGGCCAAAACATCCAAAACTGTGGCCTTTGACCTTGACCCACACTTTAATTCCCGTCTCTGTGTTTCGATTCAACGTGTTCCAGACCAAAGAGAATAAAAAGTAAGACCCAAAGGCCCAGAAGAGCCCAAGATCAGTGAAATACCCGGGCATCGCTACTAGTAGCAAGTGCATTACTACTGCACCCCCGGCATCGCAGCGCGAAGCGCCTCATCCAGCAGCACCATCACTGGGACGCCAGTGGGAATCACCTCCTCTGCCTCGGCAGAGTCCTCCTCGTCGTCGCCCTCCAAGAGGCGGCACAAAGCCTCGGAAGCCCATCTCTTTGAAGCCTCCACAACCTATACCAGAAGGAACCGCAATGGCCTCCAACCTGCTAGCGATTGGCCTCCATTCTAATAGCAATGGATGGCTGTGGTTATCCAATGTCTTGGTTTGAACCCACCATAGGAGTCACGGAGGATTGTGGCATGTTCTTGGAGCTCCAGTGAATGCAGTGGATCAGTCTATCATACTGTTGGAAGGCCCTTTGATGATCGGTATTGATCGATCAAATTCTGATGACTGAAATCTCAAACAGCATACAACACACAAATGGAATAGCATCCTGCAACCCAAGGGCGGTGATCGATGCCTGGTGTCCCACCACAAGAGGCGTCTTATTTCTCAGCAGCAACGGTGTGAGGGAGTCCTCGGATGACACAAACCCGATGGGCTGATGAGACAGCTTCGTTTCCTTTGCCCTCTCCTTGGCAGGGCATGTCCTCCCTGTTTTCCCTGTTTCCTTGCGTAGCTCTCGCCGCTGCACTACGCCCAACCAAGCGTCGCTTAAGAGTGGCTGAACACGATCCGACACCATCCTCGGCTGCGCCCAACAACCCCGCATGGCCCCAACATGGGTCTTGTGTGTGTACCCCCTGTAATCACAGGGATTCCGTTGAATTGTTTTTTCTTTTTAGCAGGGGGGCCCATGGACACTTGGATGGCATGGGCCAACGAAGACCCATCCAAGCTGTCGTGAAAACGTACCTGCTTGTTGCACCTGGGCGCATTATAAGACGCAGCTGGTGGCCACCCTTCTTCCTTTTTGTAAAGTGCTAGTGAGCTCCGCAGACTTGCACGCTACGACGTCACCCTGTCGCTCCGTTGTCGGCTTGCGCTTTGGGCCACCTTTCCTTCTGAAGACCTCCAGGATCCGTGGCTCTTACTTGTACCCTTAGGAAATGGTACCCTAGGCCGGCGTGTGGCACCGCTGTCAAGTCAGTACGCATATCCATAAGTGTGTCTCTCCCAGTGGGAGTCCGGGATGAGCCCGCAGAGTGCCTCCCGTGGACCCGTCGAACGGGGGTTTGTCGTTATCTCCCCTGCCCGGAGATGTAAGTGTCCGGAGCGGACAGCAAATGGCTTACGCCACAAGAAGTGGGATGATTGCCTCATTTTTGGAATTCTAAGTTGGCTCATGCCTCTACGTGACCGCAGCGGTCAGAGGTGACAGCCCTTGGGCAAGCCGTACGTGGTCGCAGCGACCGAAGTTTGTTCAAGGTTCATTGGAACCTGTCGCGAGCTTAGTCCCCCCCTTCCCCTTCCCTCCCCCCTTTCTTTCTTTGCTTTTTGGTGTTTTCCTGAATGGAATACTCAGGATCACCTCTTTTTTTCTTTGGTGTGTCCCTGGACGACTGTTCGTAGCTGGGAACACTTGCCTTTTTCTTTTCTCTCCTCTCCCTTTCTTTCTTTCTTTCTTTCTTTTTTTCTTTCTTTCCTCTCTTCACCTTCTTCCTCCTTGGGTGTCCCTGGATGCTTTTGTCATAGCTGGGAACCCTTTTCCTCTGTTCCTTTGGTGTGTCCTTGGACGCTTGTGTCGTAGCTGGGAACACCTTCTTCCCCTTTCCTTTCTTCTCTTTCTTTTTCTCTTCTCTCCCTACCCCTCCCTCCCGTCGGGACCTTAGAGTGGGTTGCTACTAGGGGCTCCTTGCCTTACTACTAGGACGCTACTTTGATGCTTCTAGGGGTTCCTGGCCTTACTACTAGGCGCAAGGACGCTCTAGGGCAGAGATGCCTCCCCTTGGGGAGGCGTGTGTGTGTACCCCTTGTAATCACAGGGATTCCGTTGAGTTGTTTTTCTTTTTACGAGGGGCCCATATGGGCCCATGGACACTTGGATGGCATGGGCCAACGAAGACCCATCCAAGCTGTCGTGAAAACGTACCTGCTTGGTGCACCTGGGTGCATTATAAGACGCAGCTGGTGGCCACCCTTCTTCCTTTTTGTAAAGTGCTAGTGAGCTCCGCAGACTTGCACGCTACGACGTCACCCTGTCGCTCCGTTGTCGGCTTGCGCTTTGGGCCACCTTTCCTTTTGAAGACCTCCAGGATCCGTGGTTCTTACTTGTACCCTTAGGAAATGGTACCCTAGGCCGGCGTGTGGCACCGCTGTCAAGTCAGTACGCATATCCATAAGTGTGTATCTGTCTGTCTGTCTGTCTGTCGGTCGGTCTGGTCTGGTCTGATCTGCCTCTACCTCTCCACGGCCAAGCAGCTTGGCTGACTCTGAGCCCGGCCGAAGGGATGGCGGAATCGCCCTGCCGCGCCGGGCAACGGAGCTCTGGGTCATGCCAGCTTCAGCAGCTAGGTCTAGGTAACTTCGTGATTCATTTGTCTGAAAGGTGGCAAACCAACAGCATGTCGCAAGCTCTCCTTGCATCCCAAAACAGGAATGGCATGAACCCCTATCAAAATTGGCTATTGGGATGACCTCTCACAATCTCTACCTGTTGCTATCTTGCTTCGATGTTTATGCCCACTCCATCCTCGGTTTCCGGTGCCTGTAGATCGGATCATTCGAGGGATGCTGCAGGTCAGAGGCCTCCAGCGCCGGTGGCGCCTCGGCCTTCCAGGAGCTCAACTGCTCCTCGAAGCAAAGAAAGGATTGAAAGTTGCTGTTTGATGGTGCAATGCGTCAGGTTCTTTTGGGCACTTCCACTAATTGGCATGCCTCGTCAGAATCCAAAGGGGATCACAATTTGAGGCCGTTGCCCTATCTCTGAGCTGTCAGAAGGGAGCCCAAGCGCTCCATTTCCAGATGCTTGGGGGTCAACCATCAGCTCTCCTTGCAGTATGTCTTCTCCAAGTCCTTCTCGGTCACTCCCTGCAACTTGCCCCAGTGGCGATCGTTCAGGCGGTAAGTCTGATAGTGCCTCACTTGGCAAGTTTGACGCGGTCAATCTATAAGCTGCAGCTCGATCCCCAAATGGAGGAGTAACGAATTGAAATTTAAGCTGGCAACCAGGTGACGTGTTCAAGCATACCTTTATTTGATGCAAAAACCTTGTAAAAGACCCTGGACGGCCGCACGCTTCAAATAGCCTCAACAACCTTTCAGCACAAGCTTCGGTACAGCCAGCTCATTGCTTTCCATCAAAGTGGTCCAAGCAGTGTAAATAGCCTCCGCAATCTGCAGATGGAAATGTGTTACCTCTGTAAACGTCCAACAAAAGTCATCCAACCCTGCCATCTTGGCTGAAAAAAGGCCGAACCCGCTAGGCTTGCTTGGTGTCATCTGCAGCTTCCACACTACACACATGCAACACATGCCTGTTTCTGCACCGAGGTGAAGACGGCATCAAATTGAAAGCCAGCCTCGGTCCTTGGTTCAACACACTAGGAGATCGAACCAATGCCAATTTGAAGGCTTGACAACAACCTCACAACTTCTCGCCAAAGTCGCAGCAGCTTTCCAGCCTGCCCATATGCTTTCGGGTGATCTTCTGTTAGGGGTGATAGTTGAAACTTTAGACCTACAACATGACTCAATATGACAGGTACCATCACCTCCCGGTCCCGTTCGTCCAACCAATGACAATCTACAAAACAATGGCAGGATGCCCGGCCTTCCTTGCTTGGTCTTGGCCCTTGGCACTGAGCCCATCGCTGACCCAGCCAAGACGAGTGCCCTAAGTGCTGCAGCCACGCAGAAGGTACAACTATTCGACAGGTGGCCAAGTCTGAAAGAAGCAGGTATGCTGCATGCCTGTTTGCAACTGGAGCTGGCTTCATGTGGGAATGTAGGACATCATGGTTCTCTCCATCGCTCTCTTCTAACAAAATCAGGCGCCAACTAAGCACGGACAATATGCAAATACCACCGAAACTCCCTTGCTGCGGCTGAGCCGCTGTAGCCTGTCGCTCAGTTTCTCCAGCTGCTAGCAAGACCTTGAGGAAGTTGCTAGGTTTATAGTCTGAGTCATAGATATATGCAGTATATAACATATATATATATCCAGTTATATACAGTATATTTTATATATATATATAGTCACAGCTTCTCTTCGTGGTTCCGAGGCCTGCGTGGTGCATGGTTACATCTTGGAAACATGTTCCAAACTCAACACCAACGGCATTTGTCCTGTCCCACATGTTCCCCTCCTGGATCTGTGTCCATACTCCCCATTCCTATGCTTCAGTCAGGCCACGACGAAGCGAGACATGGCCACGTGGACAAACACCCAGGCGGCGGCACAAACTGAGAGCCAAAAAGCAAGGACCACCATTGTGCAAGAGACCTCTTACAGGACCAAACATGAAAAGATCGGCGGACAGCAAGCCTCGTGTTCAATCCTGAAATTAAGCGGCCGAGCAAAAGGAGGCCTATGTGCAACGGCTGAATGCGTGTCAGCAAAGCTCTAGCATAATACAGTATGATACAGTATGCACAAATGATGCAGCACGACCCGACCCTCGTCGCCTCAACAGCCAGACTCAGTCACATCGCTTTGTGGCATTGCAACATCGCAGCGCACTGAAGAGCCAAAAAGCAGTGCAGCTGCAGCTAAGAAGTATTGCACTTACACTTCAGTCACTATGTCACTATGCTCCCACAGCGTCGCTGGACTAAAAGAGAGAGAGAGAGAGAGCACTTCTGCAATTGATACAAGTCCCACTATCCAACTTCTGTGCCTCATCTGACTGCCCAGCTAGAGCCTCACAAAACGGGTGACCATCGCTCGCTGACACAAGACCGTTCGAAGCCTGGCACAAAGAGTCAGAGCTTGCCTCTTTGCCATCGCGCAAGAGCAACAGCAACTTGCCAAAGGCATCCAAGAAGGGATGGCGTGACACCAGGCAAAAGGCTCGCAGCTGGCCAGCCTCCGAGAAAAAAGAAAACACTGCCTTTTTTGCATATCTGACCATGGTCGTAACTCTCAAGCTCACCTTGGCGTCCTGGTCAGATTTTCCGCGGCTTCTGATTTCACACATACAGTAGCAAGAACACCGGCAACGTTCTGAGAAAAAGCGTGCTGAAGGCAAGAATGAGTTCCCGAAAACCTGTTGAGAAATGACGCAGGAACAACAACCAGCTGAGCCTCTTCAAAGCATAGCGCAGTGCAGTAGAGGAAATCCTCACGCCACAAATTGCTTGTTGAAAATTTGTTTCGATTCCAGAAGTTGATGGACAACCTACCAGACAGACTCCATGGGAAACAGGACAGAACATAAAAGGAACCATGGCCCGAATTCTGTGAAAGATCTTCCACCACATCCGCTCCGTAGGATCAGCCGTCACGCATTCAGAGTCATCGTCCTGTGGGCGTTGCATGAGTGGCCGCTAGTAGCCGCCAGTAGCCGTTTCAGCCTACGTGTCATGAGTAGCCGCTTCGTGATATGGATTTTGTTAGGCCCTAGCTGCAGCAAGGCATCGTTGACCCTCCACACCCAAAAAGAACTCTGCAGTTTAATACGCAAACGCTTTGCGAAAGCTGAGCATGAGAGGGTTCTGCAGTGGTTCCAATCCATGCACCAAACTTGCTCGGTCAATCAGAAACAAAACAAACCAAATCTAGCTCTCAGTCGTGAAGTGTTCGGCCAATTGTTCATTATGCAACCAGCCTGTGGCAGAACAGCTGCCAGAACCGTGAAAGTGAAAGGTGCTGGGCTGCCCTCGGCCGCTTGGGCTCTGTCTGGAAGCTTCTTGATGATCACCGCACAAAGCTGGGCATGCCGGAAATCTTGCCACAAAAGCTTGACCGGCTGAACCTCCACCAGTGAGTCCTTCAAAAAAAAGAGAACTAGGATGATTCAAGGCCTAGGTCCTTCAAGGATCTAGGTGGCCTTCCGGCAGAAATGCATCTCCAATGCCATGTTGGTCATTTGCCTAAAGTGCCGGGCCTTCGGCCTTAGGCTACGATAGCATGCATGCAGTAAGCATGCAGTATATCTCCCACCTCGGACTCGAGGTGCATCACCCGCAATGAGGAACTCAGACTCCCACCCAAGAAGAACAAAAGGACGCTATACGTTCGTCCAGCCTCAGATCGTGTTCCCAGAATCAAGTGGGCAAGTTGCTTCGAAAGGCAAGTTCAGTCGGCTGGGTATCTTGGAGAACCTCCTGAGTTCTTTCCTGCAAAGGTTGGAGGCCATTCCTAGTAATTAGATTGGAGGCCATCGCGTCCAAAACTGCTGCAGCCGCGCCAGCTGCACCCAGGCTCCGGCATACTCTGTTGTCCCCGTCGCCGCCTCCGGTCATGGGCATTGAGTTGACTCTAGTTAGCAACAAGGTCTTCTATGGATTTCATCTTCGGATGGCAAGTTACCAAAAACATCCAATCACTAGACTCGACTATATAATTAGTGACAAAACCATCCCTCACGTCAGGTCTCCAACCCACTGAAGCAGGCTTTTCCTCAGTTCCATTCAAGCAGCATGTTTGTGTGGGTGGTTCTCCTTGAGCTCATACCCGGCGGGCTGCGTCAATGTGTGCCAGCTGTCATTCACCCGAAAGATCACTTCAACTGCTCCGGGCTCCACGTTCGCCATACAGCATTACATCATGTGGTTGACCAGTGCATCATCATGATCCTACTAGAAGGGCATTGAGGAGTGGTGGGTTTCAGCCACTGACTCTGTCGTGGAAAGCCTGGAACGTGAGGGTAGATCTGGCGGATTTAGCACCTCAGGCAGGAAATTTGGCAACTCTCACATCATCGCGAACAAAGTGATCGTCCAAGCATTCGTCCAAGCCACTGTCAGTGCGATCTCTGATTTCTCTGGTTCGCGTGAGCGTTCGATCATCGGCGGCACCTGCCCCCGCAAGGAAGCATTCCCACTGTCCTCTGCGGTGGCCAAGTCTATGGCAGAATCTGCCAGCCCTGCATACACTGCAGCAGCGTAGGAGGCCGCCAAGTTCAAGAGAAAGGACAAGCACGGTAGCAACGGAGCCTCCACCTCAGACATGCTGGTCACCCTTATGCCGAGCTATTTGCAATATACGACTTGCAGAATTGGACCCAGTTCAAAAAGGAAGGCAGAGACGGCTGAGTCCGTCTAGGCCGTGGACCGCGAAACGCGTTCGACCAATGCAGCCAAACAGACATCCGCCTCGAGGAGCGCTGGCAGGGCGACGAACAGAACGTTGAAAGAGCTCCGCAAAGCCAGCTGTGAGTGTAGCCGGCTCGGCTTATGCAAGAGCAGTGATGCAATGCCCGCTGCTATAGAGAGTGGTGGGGCCAATGGGGTCGGCAGCAGCAGCCAGATCCAGAAGGTTGCACAACCAGACAAATTGCGCAGGCTGTACGCAACCAGGGCACAAACCATTGCATCTAGTATGATCAAGGTAAAGAAAAGGACTGACACGAGAAACTCCAAAATGGGGTTTGTAATGGAGCACACCCACGGAGACAACGCTTGAAAGCAGAGTTGCTCAAACCTCCGGCTTGGCAAAAATGCGGAAATCCTTCTCAGACTCGTCACTGTGACAGCTTCTTTCAGTTTTCTGTTGGGTTTGCATCCAGTTCCTGGAGCTGCAAGGACGCCCTCCACATCTCTGACCAGTTCACCATTCTCGATGTTGCCGTGCAAGACCAAGCATAACTTCCAGTCCACTTCTACTTTGGTTTTTGCTTCAAGGGTTTCTGCGGCAGGAATCCTCTGTACCTCAGCAAGCATCTCACCACTCACCTTTTTCTATTGCTGGAGTTGCCACTGGTAACAGGCCCCTACCTGCAAAAAAGACCCCACATCGAATCTGATGCTTTCTGCACGTCTGCACTTGGCCAAGGCACCAGCTCACTGAAGAAGGCACCATCATCCACCGTGCTGCTCGCTTCGCGTGGGGAGCTCTCTGCACTGACCGCCTCGTCTGGCCAAAAGCGCAGCACCTGCACATGAGCCAAGGGTTGCCCCAAGCGTACACCACAGCGCCTGACCTGGCATGCTCGATTGACATCATCCGGCACTTCAGTGAATGATACCGATCTTAAGTCCGAACATTTCCACAACTGAGGTCCCACCACAGCTGTTCAACCAACCCCATCGTCTCCACACCTCCTGGTCCAGCAAGCTGAGAGCAGGAAGGTCAATCTGATCTTCTGACTCTGCAAGTTCGGAGTAAGGCACCAAGCGACTGAAGAGGTTGAAGGTGCAAACCAAGGAATAGATCGCCTGAGCAGGAAGCTATGGATCCAGCGGGTCTTCTTGCAGCTTCAGTCGATTGCGCGGACGTTGTACATCCTGTATTCCAACATGTCCACGTCCAACATTCCTATGCAAAGTGTGACCTTGCCTAAAGCTTCAAAAACGCGCTAAACAGGGAACCTGGCCTGGGCCTCCACCGGCTGCGGGGTCTGTGCCAAGCCCAGGAACAAGGGATCGCTCACGTTGAGCTCGAAGGGCATCTCCCAGGTACCCTTTCCTTGGGCCACGAAGACCTGCTCCGACCTGTCGCAAGTGCTGATACTGATGCTCAATGAGCATCGACCCGATGCTCAATGAGCATCTTCGCCAAATCTACTCTCATGAATAGCGCCGGACAACATCATATATATATATATATACATATACATATGGATATAGATATAGATATAGATACCGTATATGAGATATATGAGAATGTCAGTCTCGGTTTCTTGGTGGTCTCCTCTAAGGTTTAGGGGGTCTAGGTTCTTTATTTGGGGGGGTAGGGGGTGTCACTTAAAAAAAGAGAGCGGGTGGTCATGGGGCCTGGGTTTTGGTTTTCCCCAAAATTTTAGGTAAATGCTTCAGTGGCAGCCCCTCTCCATATAAACACACATATCTATTCTTGTTCTCACTCTATATGAACAAATATATTATGTATTCCTGAGTCAGGATAGTTTTATTGTTTTGGAAGCAGCAATCAGTCATTCAGATGGTTTTGAACAAGCTAATTAGAAAAGAAGCAGGCCATAAAAGTGGTCGTTTTAACAATTGTCCTCTAGATCTCTGCTTATAATGTTTAGATTTGGAAAGATTGTATATAGACGCTTTTATGTTATAAAAGATTCTCTATAGATCTCTGCGGATAATCATGTTTAGATTTAAACAACTATATAGAAACCTTGTATGTTAAAAGCTTTCTTCTAGATTTCTGCGGGCAAGAGCTTGCATGTTCAAAGCTTTCCTCAGGATCTCTGGAAAAGTAGATATCCCATATATATATGTATATATGTGTTTTCATGAAAGGAAAGCTCTTGAAAGAAAGACTTATTTATTGATATATAGCATGTTTAAAATGACATGACCATTTCCAGAGATCCAGAGGAAAGCTTTTGAAATGAAAGCTTATATATAGTTTTATTGTAGAAATGATCATCCCCAGAGATCTAGAGGGAAGCTCTTGAATTAGAAGCTTGTACATAAAACATGTTTAATATGTATATATTACCTCCAGTGATTATTGACAATAAATAAATCTAACTATTTACTCCAAAAAAGAGTTTTAGTCTTGTTCCCAGCACTTCCAGGGCAAAAAATACTGTAAAACACGGGGTTTTGTAGCATGTGTTTTCTTAAACTAAATAGACTAGAGCTAGAATAGAATTAGGTAGAATTAAATTGGATTTGAGTTGGAGCTAAGATAGAACTGAATTAAAACCGAATTTTAACTAAACTTGTATTGAACTACAACTATAGCCTAATTGACATTAGATGAGAGTTGAATTAGAAAGGAATTGACATTAAAATTAGAAGTTCGCCAGAATAAGATGTAAATGCTTGAGCTACAAGCACAGAATTACGCTCGCAAAGATTTCCAACCGTTTCATGTAAAGGACAGAGTGTCCTCGCAACTGCATGTCAAGCTGTTTGGAAATGCAAGTGGCAACCGCATTGATACCAGTCAGCAGTTAATGCACTCAGACTTGTATATGGAGATTTGGACAAGGACAAAGGAAGTGTTGAGCTCAGACGGTTTCAGATATAAGCAAAAAGAACAAATGCCTTGAGGTGAGAAGTAAGCTCAGATGCTAAACCAAAAAACCTTGAGAAAACAAAAAAAACAAAAAACACAATTCTGAGAGACTCTTGCTTGGACCCCCCAAAATCAGAAGAATCAGAAAACCAAAAAAAACCTTGGGAAAACCAAAAAAAACAAAAAAAACAATTCTCAGAGACTCTTGGCTGGACCCCCTTTTCCTAAAGACTTCCCCAGAATTGTTTTTTTTTGTTTTTTTGGTTTTCCCAAGGTTTTTTTTGGTTTTTTGTTTTTTCTGATTTTGGGGGGTCCAGCCAAGAGTCTCCCAGAAATGTTTTTTTGATTTTTGTTTTCCCAAGGTTTTTTAGCTTTTTGTTTTTTCTTATGTGCTTTTTATCCTTTAGGCATATTTATCAGTGTTTTTTGGCTTTGATTGTGGCACTGATGCATTTACCTAATATTTATGAAAATTTATGGAAAACCAAAACCCAGGCCCCATGGCCACCCCTTCTGTAAAAAAAACACCACCACACCCACCTGGAGGGTGCCCAGTCCACCAGCGACCGAGACAGGTCGAAAACGTCCAGGTGGGCCGAGGTGGCCTTCACATCGCAGCCGAAGCTAAGATGCGCCCGGGCCAGGCGGCTCCCCGACGGCCGCGGCCGCCTGGCTGTCCAGAGATGCCCCGTGTCGGCGGCAGCGGCCAAGATGGCAGAGACCTTCCGAGCCCGGAAGGCCCTCTGTCTGAAAGCCATGCAATGGTAGAGAGGCAAGCTCAGGAACCACACAAGATTCAAACCTGAAGCTGAAAAGCCAACTTGGTAATACTCAGATTCACCTGATTCGACTCCTTTGACATACAGGGTACAAAAATCTGGGGTTCGCACAGTAGGTCTCCCAGGTAGGGATGCGAACTGCCTGCTGCAGCTGGATCACCAACTCCTCCCAGCCCTCTTTCTTCGCTTCTTCAGCCACGCCTGAAGGCAGCGCTGCAATCAGGGTAGCTGCACGGCTGATCTTCCAGGGGAGCTCAGGTGAGTTCTGTCCTTGCCAGTAAATGCGGCACACGTGTTTTGGCAACTGCTCTGGCTGAAACTCCCGGCTTCCCACGCGAAAGGCTCCAGGGGACTTGCGGCGCTGGCGGCACAACCACCAAACACCACGCGCCATGATGAAGATGATCAGCGGGCAGATTAAGACTGCAAGAAAACCGCGTCTCCCACCGAAGCAGCTCATAGCAAAGTCGATGTTGTTGAGGCACTCAGGGTTGATCTTCACATCTGGAAGCCCAATCTCACATTCATAGGGGCAAGAGCTATTGGGCCACGCATCGGCAGCGTAAAAGGCGAAGCCACGCTTGTTCTTGCACGGCTCACAAGGCTTCTGCCCATCGCCCCAGCGACCCACCGGGCACGGAGAGCAGAAGGGGCCGGAATAGCCTGAACAGCACTGAAGCACACAAGCTGGCTACAACAACCTCAAGTTGGAATGACTAAGACTTAGTCTGGTTTCGGGTGCTTCCAGAATCCTCAGAACTGACCCATGAGCTCCCAAAGGACAACCTCCATCAACCTCCTGAACAATTTCACGACGTTCCACGAATTCCCTCCCTGCCTTCCTGGCAAGGGACCAGGGATGTGGCAAAGCCAGCCCCTCCCTGAATGATCTCACGGCCTTGTTGTGGCAAGACATCAGCACAGCCAGCAGTCAGGCCTCCCCCTGACACGTCTAGCGCGATGTCTTCAATGATTGTGCTGTTCCGGAGCAAGCCAATGAAGCCTCCCCCACCTGCACCCCCCGTGGCCGCAGTCTTGCTACTGCACTGTGCGCTCCCACCAGTGGCGGAGAGCTTTGGAGCTTCGCATTCTGAGGAGGCTTCCTTGTCACAAAGTACCTGGAAATGCGAAGTCATCACTAAGATTTGCCCTCCTGCACCGCCGCCTGAAACTAGCAACCAAAATTGCCGGTAGTTTTGAAATGCACCGTCGGTGCCTGATGCTGTGATACGCACTCCATCCGACAGGGAGATGACTGGGGCTGAAAGCCAGATCAGGCCACCCCCTGCGGAGTTTGGCTCTGTTAGGTCGGGATCAGGAACGCAGTATTTAGCTGGCACCCCACATCCACCACCCGCGGCACCCCTCAGGGGCAAACGGGACCAAGCAAAATCACTTCGGATACCAGGCCGCGCACAGCCGGTCAACTCAAGCTTCTCATCCAATTTGGCACCGAGGCCCCCTAGCCCGAAGTTGGATGCTCCAGCTGCTCCGCAGCGAATGTAATAGCTTCGAGACTCGCCTCGGCCAGGGATTCCCTCCCCCGGCGGGCAGCCCCGGCCATCGCTACTAATGACCGCCATCCGCTCCAAGACCATCACCTCCCGCGAGCACAGGAACGGGGCGGCCGCCAAGAGCCGGGCACGTGGTCCAACATTCAGCTCTTGCCACGCCAAGATGGCAAGGTCTACACCTCGGACGCCAGGCATTCACAGGTAAGTCAGAAAGGAATCGGGTCAAAGGGTTTTTGTGAAGATGTTTCGGCGTGAACTTGAAAGCCTGGGACCACTGCTGACTACGGAAAACCAACATCCAAACAATGTCGCACTTCATGGTGTGCACAATTAACTGGAGGAAAAAAGTTTCAACTAACCTTTTACCTTGGGCTGATAGGAAGCTCATGATTCCCAGCACACATGCACAAGGAAGCTGCGTGCTGGGCTAACCCTAGTTACTTGGCTACCGTAAACCCACGACTTGGGGGCTTGGTGTGTGGTCGAGGTTGTTGCTGCTGTTTCGTCCCCCCCATGTTCACGTTTCGCTCGTTTGTCTTGTTATCAGGCTCAACTGCCCTCGCTTATTTTGTTCGTTCGTTTACGGTCGGCGGTTTACGCGCACGTGTTCTAGTGGTCCGTTTCTTTTATGTTTGGTTTCAGGAGTGTTTGCCGCTATACCCTTTCAGGGTGATGAGCGACTACCACGGCTGAATCCTCTATATCTCTAGCTATCTGTTGGGTCAGCTTGGTGGAGGAAGCTATAGGGTGGAGATCGGCCTCAGCAGCCAAGTGAGCCGAGCTGAGCGCTGATGCGTAGCTCGCTAGCTTGCTTAGCTGAGGCATGCTGAGGCTGACATGGTCAACATGGTCACTGGTTACATAGTGTTGGTCGCGTGACTGCGGAAGAGCTGGGTGTTGAGAAAGCGGACGTTAGTGCCGTTAGCCCAATATTGAGCGATGAGCAAGCAGCTAGCTGGGCGTTGAGTTAGCCAAGTCGTGGAGTAAGATGAGGGTTGAACCAACCAAGCAGTGTACTCCCTAGTAGCGTCCTTGCTCCTAGTAGCGATGCCAGGAGTCCCTAGTAGCGTCCTTGCTCCTAGTGGTACGGCCAGGAGCCCCTAGTACTGTACCGTCTATTGATATTTTGAGGTGATTTTATCTGCCTCTGGGCGAGCAATGTCTAGTGAATCTTGGAGTTCCTGTTGATTTTTGACAATCGGGACGGACCTGATGCAGCTGCTGCACTCGGAATGGCAAACGTCAGGCCCATCAAAATTCCGCTGCTGGCAAGGGGTTGTAGCCTGATTTCTACAATGGATCACTAGTAAGTCTTACAGCCTTTGACTTGTGGCACTACGGCGTGCCTACTTTTACGATCCTATAAGGGGACGTTTTACGGCAGCCTGCAGCGGGTACCCCTTTGAAGAACTCTGGACTTGAAAGCTGTTTGAAACACGGGCCAGCCACTCAAGGTTCCAAGCTTCTCAGACAGCGGGTTGCTTTTGACCATATCAATTCCCTCCGCGAAGCTTGCACACAAATCCACGAAGGGCAACTCGATGTTCTTGCAAGTATTGGCACCCAGCACCTCGATTCGATGATCATTCGCGATGAGCACCTCGCGGCCTTGGGCCACCAGTCGGGAGAGCAGCCAGTTGCCACCCTCGGGGCGCCGCTGCACTCGGATGGCAGCAACGTAAAAGAACGCACGACCCACACAGGCCTAGTTGGACTTCGTGAAAATCTGGTGTGGGGATCTATGTATAGTAGTTTACTCCGTTTACTCCTCTCTCTCTCTCTCTCTTGAAATGCTTCACTTTTTCATTCCAAACTTCGCCTGCCATCCCAAGCTCACATCACTGCCTTTCACCAGCACGCTGCTTTTGCGCAAAGGGCTGGCAGCCAGGTGCAAGGTCCCTCGCGAAACAAGGTTGAGCTGGTCCATCTTCAGCTGCGTCACGTGGTCCTGCGTTCATCGCTGTTTTCGGAGCCCTCCATTGAAGTCCCACACCTGCATCACCCAGAAGCCACCAAGCAGAGTTATATAAGTTATTCTGCATTATTATATACGCCCAGTACCACCCCCAAATTCACCCCCAGCGTCACTCAGGTCCTGCAAGTACAAGTTCTTGGCCAGCAGCACTCCTTTGCTACTTTGCAAAGAGGTAGGTCCAGTCAACGTCATGTCTCCATTTGGACAGGACAGCGTGATCTGGCGCGCTTGCAGCTGCGATGAGTCAATCCGGAAGCCCTGCCAAGGTCTTTCGGATGAGTAGACAGAGCAGGGAAGCTGTGGGACAAGTCAGCAACAGTGCCGACCAAGATCCTTGGATGAGATGTGAGTTAAATTGAAGGGTTTCAAAACATGTCAAGTGTGAATGATCTCAAACCCCAGGACCCAGCAAAGGGCAGTGACCTTTAACCCTGCCTCCCCGCAGCTGCTGTGCTTAACAACAAGATGGTATTTGGCCGATAAATATGCTGAGCTCATGCTCAGCCCTTTCGCCCAAATCCTCGCCTTGGCGCTCCGGCTCCGTTATCCATTATGCAATTGGCTGTGACGAAAAAACAAGCCTAAGATTGGTCAGGAGCCGAGTGCCCTCATGGCTTTCCACCCTCGAGGTCCATGTTGCACTACATGTTGTAAAAGGATGTTGGCCCAAACCGCTGAAACAATCACAAAATCTTCAACATCCACCTTTGGGAGCAACGCCATACCCGTGTGCATGGGTGCACTGTCCGACAGCGTGATGCACAGCACCGCCCTCCTTCAAAGAAGTCACCCAACCATCGATGATGAGGTTGGACTTTTCCTGAAAGGTGACTTGGCCAGTGATGTTCAGGACGAAGGCTTTCGAGAAGAACTGCTTTTGTCCTTGGTGAGTGGGAACGCTTCCCGGAACGAAGAGTGAGGACACCACAACCCGTTCCTCCAATCTCTGCCTTGGGGCCAGCTGGCACAATGAGATTTCCATCCCAGGTAAGCATAAGGATTGACGATCCAGAGCCCAAGGCAGCTTCAGCATTGTCTTTCAGGATGCAAGTCGTGTTGTCGGGCTGCTCCTGGGAATTGCTCTGCAAGCGAGAAGTCGCAAGGTTACACAGAACACCCCAAGAATTCAAGTGCATGCTAGATCGTCCACACCTATCTATCTATCTATCTATCTATCTATCGATCTATCTATCCATCTATCCATCTATCCATGTATCCATCTATCCGTCTATCCATCCAATTAACTATCTATCTGAGACAGGGGGAGTTGAGCCAGGGCAGAGTTTCCAGAAGTCGGAAAGACTCTCCTGGCAGAAGACTTGCGATGCAGAAGCTGAGCCAAGAATTCCTAGAGTCGTGGCCAGCCACCCCCGGCCCATGGCTGGGAGCCGTGGTCAAAGCGTCACAGGAAATGAATCCAGGAATGTCCAGAAAACCAACAAGCTAACAGTCAGAGGGTGCAGCTTTGGCACCTCTTGAGTCACACGGCACGGGCGTGGCAAGGGGCATTCGAGGAGACATGGCACGGACGGCACGATTCGAGGATTTAGGGCGTTGGTGTACTTCTCCTTGGTTGCATGAATCTTTCCCCAGCGTCTAGTTTCCGGGATCCTGTCAACAGTACCAAACTTCGGACTAGCGTTCTCCATAACACCGAGCCTTGAATTGAACCAAAAAACCTCTCACTCACATTCGCTTCTAAACTCTTCAACCTCAAAGCACGCACCCACCTGGGCTCCCGCCAAAGTACCTCGCCACCCTGTCAGGCATGGAGACAAACACTCAAGGTTCGTTCGGCACGTTTCGGGAACTGTGCCACAGGTTCGTCGACGTTACATGAACACAATACGAGGTGTTGACACATTCTGCGCCACTGCTAAGGGATCTTGAAGGAATGTTCCGTGAAGGAATTGTTACTGTCCAACCTGTTTGGGAGTGTATGTCTTGTTACCGGACATGAAGATTTCATGGTATTTGGGAAACCTGATGGAAGCCCACGAACCCGAATGCTTTGAGGCACCGAAGCACAGCGAAAGGAGCACGAGCATTTGTTAAAATGGTTCTCTCTCGTGACACCTCCTGCCAATTCGGCTTGGAGGTAAGTGCAATGAGCGTAAGAGTGTCCTACAAGAATGTCCAACAACAGGGTCCTACATGAGTGTCCACCAAGAGTGTCCCGCACAAGTGTCCCAAGGGCGTCGCACAAAAGAGTGTCCAGCAAGAGTGTCGCGTGAGTGTCCTACATGTGTGTGTGTGTGAGAGACGCGGTGGTGTCATTTAATAAAATATTAGAACACAGGAGTGTCAAGCAAAATTGTCGCACAAGCGTGTCCTGCAAGAGTGTCCTAGAAGAGTGTCACCCTGGAACGTCCTTCAAGATTCAAGAGTGTGCTTGGAGACGTTTAATCAAGAGTGTCAAAAAAACGGTTGTCATAGGAGTTCCTTCAGTGCCCCAGGAGCCCCTAGTAGCTTTTTTGCTCCTAGTGGTAAGGCCAGGAGCCCCTAGTAGTGTCCTTGCTCCTAGCAGTAAGGCCAGGAGCCCCTAGTAGCGAGGACTTGATACCTCATGATTTCTGATATCTCATGAAGTTAACGCAAGTCCTCTCACTGACGCTCCGAAGCTTCTGTGGCCAGCGTGTTCCAACAATCTCAACTCTGAACAGCGCCTGACTGGGTGCCTTGAAGGAAATCAGGTACAACAGCTCGATCAAAGGCCCTGTCCACGGTCCCAGGGCGAGTGCTTGGACTAAACAGGAGCGAGAAATCATTGCAAACAAGCAAAGACAAAAATATGACAAGGGAAGCTAAGACCTCTTTTAAGGGGAGCTTTAACTGTCCTTAAGACATTCCCTATAAGGCTCGGTGGACCGCTGTTTGGAGGCAACTCGATCCTGACGACTGGGGAGATGAATGGCACTGGCCCCCTCAGAAACCTTGAACCCCTCATTGGAGGCAGGCCTCCACTCAAGGTCTTGGTTGGCTGCAGGTCCAAGGAGGGCACCTGTCATGACTCATGAATTGTGAACACACCCCGTTTGGACACCAAACAGCACAGAAGTGACGCCCTAGAGTTCCAGGCCGAAGGGCCCCGCCCAACATCATCAAATTGTATGGATAGCTATTGTCAATCGACCCATTCGACCAGACCCTAGTAGCCTCCTTGCTCCTAGTAGCGATGCCAGGAGCCCCTAGTAGCTTCTTGTTACTAGTAGTAGGGCCAGGAGCCCCTAGTAGCGTCCTTGCTCCTAGTAGCTATTGTCAAGAATGCTCACCATATCAAACACACAATCTCAGCCCTCAGGTCGGCAGCACCGTTCGAGAACGAAGACTCCGTTGTGCCCAATCCCTTGGAGTCCTTGCAGAGGCGTGAAACCCTGCACAAGAGAAACAAGAACTCTGTGACTAGTATCATCCCTCCCTTGCCTTCCTTGCCAAGGTCCTTGTCTGTTCTTCAAACATCCTGCCCCTCAATCCCACGCACCCTTTCAAAGCCTGTGAAGCTTCAACTCCGGCAACGCCCTTTTTCCGCCACTCTGTGAGATCAACTCAGCTTCTCGGCCCCTTCAGGTCAGATCGGTCAGGGTCAGCGATCCTGTTTGTTCCTAGTAGCATTCTTGTTCCTAGTAATAAGGCCAGGAGCTACTAGTAGCGTCCTTGCTACTAGTAGCGATGCCCTTTGTTACTAGTAGCTTCGGTCAGGGTCAAGCTTCCAATCGAAATTAAGGAAAACCCAAAGGGCCATAGGGTCCGACAGTTTGACCGTCGGCTCACTCTATACTACTCTATACTCATCTTTCAGTGGGCGCTTTTGGCTTGAAAACTGAAGGTTAGTTCTTGCAACTTTCCACAAGGTCCTGGCACCGACCTTTGACTCGATCCTTGCCGAGGCTGGGACTTATTTGATGCAACACATGCGATGGTCAGAATCCGGTTGGGCAAACCTTCACCCAACTCTCCTGCCCAGGGATCCGGAGTTGTCATCAGGAATTTACGAGTCCATTCTCCACAGGCTCATTTGGACAATTTTGGGTGGAAGAAGAACGGAACCTGTGGCTACTGGCTCCCATATCTTCAATTCATAGGACTTGCTCTGCATCTCTTTCTTCGGTACCCTGCTCGGAGGTGCCAAAAAGGCAATCGAAAACGTTTGCTATTCGCCGACCCTCTCAGAGGGCAATGTTCACGCTGTAGTCACTTTGCTCTTCATCCCCATCTGCACAAAAAGATCCACACAGGGGCGTTGCCAGTGTGGCTTGGGATGCCAGTATACCGTGTCAACTGAGTCGATCATCATGAGCTGTCAACCGAGGCATTACCGCTCCACTGCCCGCTTCGCGCCTTCATTCACAGAGGTCAAGTGGGTGAAACTGCTGCTTGGCTTGGCCTCGCTCGGCCTGGCCATCCGTTCGGACATAATGAATGCATATATATATATATATGATTATTATGAATATATATATATATATATGCGTGTGTGTGCATATACGAGTCGCATAGTCTGCCATTGCACGAGGCTGGGATTGCCATGTGCACCATGCGCATGGTTGGAACAAACCTTGCGTTCAGCTCGTGAGCTAACATCGATTTCAATCCAACGGCTGGTCCTACAGACCAAACGACTCAATCCATGCGCGCCCATGTTTTCTCTTACATTGTGCAGTCTGTTGCCGCACCCCTCTGTCGCGGCAAGAGATACACACGCGTGACATGTGCAGCAACCCACTAACCCGCAAACGGCATTCACCTTGAACACAAGGCTGGCCAGGGCTGAGGCTAAAACTAGAAAAGCACCGCACCGACGGTATGCGGAGAGTAGCAATGCCCATGGTGCTCACATGCCGCTGGGATCAGGCTGCTTAAAGTCCACATCCTCTGCCAGCTGGAACCTAGCAGCTGCTTCCTGACTGAAAGCGCCACGAAATGATGGCCACACATCCTGGCTCCATGAGAGCAGCATAGACTAAGTCAAGGCACATCCAAATGAGATTGCTGCGGTTGCCAATGCCTGTTTGGAGGACTTGGTCAGAAACTTGCTATAGTATACTGCAAAAAAGAACACCTACCTTCTTGCAAAGACATAGCCTGTAGAGTTATACAACGTAGGAAAATACTGTGTCTAGGTAAGGCTCTTGCGACTGTGAGCCAGTAGCTGACTGAGTGCAGCCTGGTTGTCAAACTTGGTGCCCATCTCAAGCTCTCTGTGATCAACAGCTGTTGCGAGTACGGCCGCGGGGGGAGGGCCTGCCATGGCTCACAGCTATCCAAGGCATCCAGACATGCGAAGCACTAGGCCATTAGGACATTAGGCCTTCTTCTCTTTGAGCTCCACTTGCTCCCCAATGGCAGGAGCCATCCCTATGAGCTCCTTGGGTCGATTGCTGCAAACGTACTATGTTGTGCAGCAAGCTCTTTTGCCAGGACACGTTGAGAAGGGCGCGGTTGCTGCAGAACTCTTCGTTGTCGTTGTACCGAGCCCCCACAGAAAGCATCTGCAGAACCCCAGCTTGGCCCTTGTCAAAGCCATAACGTGGCAGGACCTGTCCAAAAAAGGTGTACTGCTGCAAAAATAATCTCCGAAGCGCTTCCTGATCACTCAAGCGGCATGCAGTTTGTCCTGTTTAAGACAACCGTGGTGGCTTCTTGCAGCCCCTCACGAGCGAGGGGATGCGAGGGGTGCCCACTTCCCTGATCTTCCCTGTGTGATTCGTTTACGGGGGTGCCTGGCCTTATTCTGCACGGTCAGAAAAAGCTTTGTGTGATCATCTGTGTAATTTCTGTAGGCCTTGCCGTGGATAGCCTCCAATTCTCGCAGCGCCTGGCATCGCAGCACAAGCACCAGGTACACAGGTTCAAAGTTCGGCTACCACATCCATCACAATTCAGCACCTCCTGGAATTCAGGCTCTGAGAAGCCATCATACAGCTCAGCCTGGCTCGGGATCCATGAAAACGACCAAGCAAAGGACAATCCACAGGGAATGCAAGGCTTGAAAAACTCAATCCGGAAATCCTGATTCCAGAAACCGCTAAACAGCCACTCACGGAAAAATCGGGACACCTGTAGGTCCAAAACCTCCTGCAATGTGAGGTCGGGGGATGACGACATGGATTCTGGATGCTACAGTCAATAGGGAACGTACTAGGCTGTATGCATTCGAACTCCTTGACTCCATGTCCAACTCCTCGACTCAATGTCATATGATTACTCCATGATTTCTATGGTGTGCTATTCAACTTCTGTCTTTCTAGCGTCTTGCTTCACCTCTTGGGCCAAATTCGGTTCGCATTCACACGTGCCAAAGACGGTTGGTTGACTTGGGATGGTCAACGGATCTTCACCATGGTCGAGCAACGGGCACCTGATTTGCATGTGGATGTTGCTCTCATCAAGCCTCAGAACATCAAAGGGTGTGCCTGGCCTGAGGGGGGTCAAACTGTTTTCCAAGAAGTGGCGCTATGGCTCAACCAAGCAGCTTTCTGGCCAATATGAATGCGCTACGCTCGCAGCTGACCATATCTTCCTCTGAGCTCATATGACTCATCTCGCCGTTGGAATCCCGCCGAAGCACCTCACTCAAAAGCTGGGCGGCTGATTGCTCTTTCAGGGGAACAGGGGCATCCCTGGAAAATTTGTCGTCAAACCAAACCACTTAGCGAATATGCTGCAGGCGCTCTGGGCCATCATGACACCGGTGGTGGGGCCAGAAAATCGGATCGAGACATCTCTGCACCGTGAACAACGGGAACCAGTTCGACCTTGTCATACTCTTTATCAAGTTCCTCCTTCATCTCGCGTTTTGCCACACTCCTGCATGCCAACGCGCTTTCGGAACCGTTTGCCGAGTCAATCATCCAAAATGAACCACCTCTGAAATAGTTTGCTGGATTTTTTGCACGGATTGATTTCCTGATATGTACGAGCTGTCCTGGCCGCACTGTCCCCCGACGAGCGAGAACCAGTGGATCCCTCCGACCTGGTTGCAGGGTCTACAAACTAACCACCAGTGAATGCAAACCTAAAGTCAGGCATGGTCATCCTTCTCTGGTGCCAGCTACTTTGCTTTGGCGCTTCCGGTCTAGCAGCAGCCTGCCAATGCCGCCCACAAGAAGGCTGAAGGTCTTGTTGCCCTTGAATGCTCGTTGCAGGGCCTGGCCACAAACAGCACCCATGAAATTGTGGTCTTTTGGGTCCTTGCATTCCAGCCTGTGCGTCCGCATAGCCTGAGTTCACGCACCAAAGTTCCACACGGAGGGCCAAATTAAGCATCTTCGGCAGCTACGAAAATTACAAAATGTTGATCAAAAAGTGTTCAACACAGGTGGTGTGTGTGTGTGTGTAACCCTTGGAATCAGAGGGAACCGTAAGGTGTGGAACAGGGGGCGTGAAAGCTATGAAAATCGACTGGAAGGAAGTTTGGACGCAAACTTCCGTACCTGTTCCCTTTTTAGGAAAACAGGAGGAAATGGTACTCGACACACTTGTGTGTCGGTGCCTTTCCTTCTGTTTTCCTCTAAGGCTACCCTATAGGTTG